GGTGCTTCATACTCACCACCTCGATCACTCCTAACCGTTTTAATCCGTCGATTAAGTTGGTTTTCCACTTCATTCTTATAAAGAATGAATTTATCGATTGCTTCGTGTTTATTTTTCAACAAATAAACATAGCTATAGCGAGTGCTATCATCGATAAAAGTAATAAAATATTTATTACCGCCACGTGTTTGTATTGATTTAAAATCACAAACGTCACTATGAATTAATTCTAGTGGTTCCGTTTTTCTTTCAACCGATTTGAAAGACGTTTTCGTTAGTTTTGCCTCAACACAAATATCACATTTGTGCTTCACATCAATTGTGAATTTAGGAATGTGTTCCATGTTAATTAATCTACGTATAGAATTAAAATTAACATGTCCTAGTCTACCATGCCACACATTGGAAGACTCAAGCAAGTAAGCAGAAGGGATTTTATTATTATTAATAATAATAGTCGTTACATTGAGCTTAAACAGCCCATCACATGCATACCCCTTGCCCACATACATTCCCGACTTGGACAAAACCAATTTGTCCGACTCAAAAACCATACGAAAGCCATGCTTGTTCAACAACGAACCGGAAATCAGGTTTTTGCGTATCTCCGGAACGAACAGCACTTGGTTAAGAGTCAGCTCTTTGCCCGAAGTCATCTTCAGGACCACCTTGCCCACGCCTTCAACCGCGGAATGAGCCGAGTTTCCCATCCACACTTTCTCACCATTTGATGGCTCAAAAGTAGTGAATAACTCCCGGTTTGAGCAAATATGCCGAGTAGCACCGGTGTCCACAAACCACTCCTTGGAATTGGATCCAACGAGGTTGACTTCCGTCACCACGGCCGCTAGGATGATGTCTTCATCCTTTTGCCCACCTTGCACCAAGTTGACGTGAGAATCTTTCTTTCTCTTTGGTGCCTTGCAATCCGAGGACTTGTGTCCATTCTTGTTGCAATTGAAGCATTTTCCATTGAACTTTGTCTTGGAAACGCCTCCCTTGGGACCGAGCTTGCTCTTCCCATTGTTTTTATTTTTGGAGCTTTTTGCATGCTCCACCACGTTGGCCTTGGCGCCGTGAACAATTGGGAGTTTCCCATCGTTCTTCCGATTATCCTCTTCAATCCGCAGACGGAGGATCAATTGCTCCAAGTTCATTTCCTTTCGCTTATGCTTAAGGTAGTTCTTGAAATCCTTCCAAGCCGGCGGCAATAAATGAATAATTGACGCCACTTGGAATGACTCACTAACTGTCATTCCTTCATCTCGAATTTCGTTGAAGATCATTTGCATCTCCTCAACTTGACTCAAGACCGTCTTCGAATCCACCATTTTAAAATCAAGGAATCGACCAACAACAAATTTCTTTGTGCCGGCATCCTCGCTTTTATATTTGTGGTCCAAAGCATTCCATAGCTCCTTAGCCGTAGCTAATTTGCTATAAACGTCGTACAAAGCATCATGCAGCCCGTTCAACACATAGTTTCGGCAAAGGAAGTCAGAATGCTTCCAAGCTTCAACCGCGTTGAAAGATTGCGCATCCACCTCACCCCCGGTTACAACCGGTGCGTCCTCGGTCAAGAACCTCGCAAGACCGAGAGTAGTGAGATAAAATAGCATCTTTTGCTGCCACCTCTTGAAGTTTAACCCATTAAATTTTTCGGGTTTCTCCACAGAGTTGCTTGGCACGGTAACCATAGGGATAGCCCTTTGGTTCAAAGCAGATGCTCCGCGTTGTGAACTATTGTTCACCGGAGCTCCGCTTTCAGAGTGATTGTCGTTCAGAACATTCTGCCCAACACCAATCTCGTTTTCTTGAGAAGTCATTTTCGTTTTCTTAACGTTTTTTCCGAAAACACAAAAAACAAGTTCGTTCACCAAAGTGACAAACTACAGTTTAAGATTGTATACCGCAGTATAACAATCCGCAAATACGTTTTAAGATTGTATCCGTATGATACAAGCTTAACAAAACAAATACGTTTTAAGAACCTGTGTTGTTGCAAACCACCTGCCAGCCATTATATAGGAGGATTTGTTGTGTGTAAATGGTGAATTAATGGACCTGAACGTTGGACATCAATGACCAGTCCGTTGGGCATTGAATCGTCCATGAACTGTCCATTTAACGCTGCATTAAAAGATAAGAACGTTGGGCATTAATTGTTGGAACGTTTCAGAAGCGCGACAGAAGACCTCCATCAGAACTCCCCGGGAGGGGTTCTGATCGGAGGCCAATCAGAAGACCCCAACTCTGATCCGCGGCCATCAGAGTACCCCCAACTCTGATGGGCGGCCATCAGAATACCAACGAGAGGGGTTCTGATCCGAGCACTTCTGCCGCTGGGAAAAAATTAAACGTTTCGGGAAGAAAACAAAAATTAATCGTATCTTTTGAGAGATAGATTTTTGGACGACATTCGTGTCCGCAGGTCGCCCGCGCACGCAAGTCGCGGTTTTTCTTCTCCGAATTCGGGATTTGATTTGCACCCCCCCTGCGCGCGTGGAGAGAGCCTTTACCCTTAAGAATCTTAACTCCATAAGGGGGGAGTCCCTTTATAAAGGGTAGCAAATCCCTTGGGTTTTCCGGTGTGGGAAATTAACACTAGAAACCCATCCTTTTTCCCCAGTTTTTCCCTTCTAACGGGTAAACTTCGAAAAGCGATTTCTCATTCACCCGTTATCCGTTTTGAGCGTACCATATATCGAATTGTAGCCCTAAGCAAGGACAATCCGAAACCACTTTGACCCGACCCAAATCGGAAGTGGGTCCCACTCAAAAAATTGCCCCAAAATAGCCATTTAATGCAATTTTTCACACATTTTTTCCAACAAGCACTTAACCCAGTATTTCATGAACGTACCAAACATGTTGAGATGCATTGTTATTTTGTTAGAGAAAGAGTGGCTAGTAATGAGATTCAGCCATGTTCCATATCCACTGTCAATCAAGTAGCTGACATATTTACCAAAGCACTTGGTACCGATCGTTTTCAATTTCTACGGAGCAAGTTGGGTGTTCGTAACCTTCACAATCCACCTTAAGGGGGAGTCTTGAGATATTTATTTAAATTAAATAGTTCTATCATTATTAAATACTCGTAGTTCTATTATGTGTACTGCATATTTTATTTGTAGTTTGATTCTGGAACACTTCTACGTGGGTTACATGCATTGCATGACCCACTCATTTGTCCTAGTTTTCCTATCATGCATCTAGTATTATACGGAGTATGTGTGAGTATTATCTCTTCTAGCTCATGGAGCTCTTTAGTTTAAACTCCGTATTGAATATATATCATTGATTTTATCATAGTACAACTACTTTTTTTGGAAATAGGCCAGAGTAGAAATTTGCGAATGCGAGCAGTAGAAGGAAGATGAGTTGAATGGAAGAGAATTTCCAAGAGTATATTTTTGAATTATTTCCTTTTAAAAGAATTGTTGTAACTAATAAAGTAAGAAGTTGTTCTCTTCACCTGATCTGAATGTTTCTGATTTGAACTTTTTAAGTTTTGATCTGATCTGAATTTTTCTGATCTGACCTGATATGATATGATATGATATGAGTCTTTCTGATCTGAATCTCTGTGATCTGATCTGAATCTTTCTGATCTGATCTAAATCTTTCTGATCTGGTCTGATCTAATCTGAATGTTTCTGTTCTGATCTGAATTCTTCTGATCTGATTTGATCTGAATCTTTCTGATCTGATCTGAATTGAATATTTCTATAATTGTAATTACAATTATAATTATTATAAGGAAAATTGATAGTAATAATCCCAACTATTGGCGGTCCGCTCATAATAATCCCAACTATTGATTATTACAGAATAATCCCAACTTTAGGGACCTTCCGCCAATAATGGTCCATATGAATAAATTCTTGTAGTTTCTAAAGTGGATGAGATGAGATATAACAAGTAATCCCTATAAATAATCTCAACTTTTAATTTTTACGCTTAATTTCTATTTAAAATTCACTTTTTATAGAGGTAATATATGGTCATGAACCACTATTGGCGGATAGTCTATATAGTTGGTATTATACAAAAATAATCAATAGTTGGGATTATTTTCAGCGGGCCGGCAATAGTTGGGATTATTATTTTCAATTTTTCCTTATTATAATTATAATTGTAATTACAAATATAACTTAAATAAAATTATAATTATAATCATAATTATAAAAAATATAATTATAATTATAATTATAATTAAATTTAAAATTATAATAATTATACCAATTAAACTCATTATAACTATAGATACAATTATAAATGTAATTATATTTTTAATTATAATTACTTATATAATTATTATTGTAATTATAATTATAATATTTATTTCTATAATTACAATTATAACTATAATTATAAATAGAAATATAATTACTCCATATAATAATAATAATTACAACAATAAAAAAACAATAATAATATTATTAATAATAATAGTTATAATTATAGTTTTAATTATAATTATAATTATAATTATATTATTATATGATAAAAATAATAGTATTATAATAATAAATTATATTATTAGTTTTATTATTATTATTATTATTATTATTATTATTATATAATATTAATATTATTACTATTTTTATATTATTATTATATTATTATTAATACATTATATTATTATTATATATTATTATTATTATTTATATTATTAATAATATTCTTATTATTATTATATTAATATATTACTATTGATATTATTAACAATAATTTTAATATAATAATTATAATAGTAATAATTATAATAAATATAACAATAAAAATGATAAATCATGTTTGAATTTTTCTGATCTGATCTGATATAAATGTTTCTGATCTAGTCTTATCTGATCTGAATCTTTCTGATCTGTGCTATAAATTATAAGATTAAGACGAATAGAACAGCTTCGACCACGGCCATTATTGGGAAATTCTAGTTGGTGCTAACTGAAATAAAATAAGTAATTAAAACAAATCATGGTCTCTGTGCTTTTACCACGTCCACTCTCTGGTATGTCTATCTGATAAACTACATGTTACAAGCGTGTGAGCTTCTGAAGAGGAAGAATTGCTGCGCGTTCTTATTGTGGCTGAACAAGGAACAGACAGGGCAGAAGGGCAATGAGGAAAGCTGGAAAATGAAAGTTCTCCCTTTAGTCAATTCCAACATGTCTTCTGATTACAGTATTCTTTCCTTTACAAAAGGAATTAGATTGTGATTAAAGAGGCAAGACAATCACTTTCAGAATTGTAATTGATGCGAATTACTTCCGTAATCACAGTCCCCATAGCACTCAACTTCCCTGCTGAGTTTGTACTTTGTACCCTCATGCCTTCACCTCAATAACCACCTGCACAGCCTCTGCAAAGTCATACTCCCTCAATGATGTCATCTATCAGCGCAGCTCTGATGCCATGCTCAATGTACAGCACAATTTGGAAACATTGCAATTTGACAGTACTCTAGTAAACTTTTAATTTTGGGTGGTCAGAACCACTTGGCCATATGGGTCAGGTTTCTGGTCCAAAAGAGAGAGTGTATTGCTAGAAGTTGATGATAGTGATACTTCCAGAGCCTTCAGAGGAAACTCAAATCTTCTCAGAGCCATTAAATCCGGGAAGAAATATCTATACTTGAATGATTTGGGCAGTAAAGAATCACACCCTACTTGGAACCAATAGTTTTTTATAAATAGAATTTTTCTCTTGTTTATTTGGTATAAAGATTGTAATCTTGTAGTATGATCATTAGTTTTGGAATATTTGGGATATTGGCATGTTATTTGCTGCACACTCATCTTGCTCTATTTGGATATTTAGTAACGGTAAACTGGTATGCAGAAGAATCTAAAAATTATAGGTGCATTCTTATTGACCGTATAATAGTGTTTGTTTTCTCTTTTAAATATGTAGGAAATATTGCCGAAGTGACTAATGAAGCTACAAACACAATGATGCAAAACTTTTGGGATTCTGCTATGGCACTTGCTCCTGATGATGATGAAGAGACACGTAGGTTGTGGCCTGGTTCTCTTATTTATGTCTTTTATCTTCAAGTTCTTCCCAATTTTGTTTTTTTCTCTCATTTGCTGCTGTGTTGTATCAGTGACGGTTCTCTAAAAATGGCCTCTGAAGGAACAGAGACAGGAAGAGCTCTTCCTGTTCCTGAGCTTTTAAGACTCAAGATAGAAAGGGACGGATGCACAGATTCACATGTGGTATGTCTTAAGATGATTTTCATGCATCAAGTTCTTGAAACACAAAATTGAACAACCACTGTGACATGCTAAAAATTTGATAAAGGATCTTGCATGGTTCTTCTGACCTTCCTTTTCCTTGTTTGTAATTTGTGACGACAAGTTGGATTCCCATGATTGAAATTCTTTATCTGGTTGTTGAAGTTTATCTAGCTACAAATCTTTTTATGAGTTTCGTTGAACACTCGCGGCATGATTAGCTGTAGCATGCATGCAATTCTGTTTCTCATTTATAAATGTCTTATTGGAATTACAGTACTTTAATTGTGTATCCAAGTTATTGGCTTTCCTTATTACCAAAACCGTATCAGAAACATATCATATACATAATTTTTCTCAACGACAAAACCTTTTATCGTTAGTGAAGAGATTATAGTTCATGTTCATCCATTTTTTGCTAGTGTAGTTTAGTGTAGTTATCCATTTCTTTGTTAATGTACTAATGTAATTTTGTCTGCTGATGGGTCTAATCTATTTATTCAATACTCTCGTGTAAGCTCTTAAGGTGGCTCCCATAAATTGATATGCATTAGTTTGGTTCTTACCTTTATTTGGTTTTCAGACTCAAAGAATGACAGATCTCATTACTGCAATCCTTCAGAGAGTTGGGGATGACATTGACTGGAACAATCTTACCCAGATTCTTGAATGTTACAACACATTTTTCTTCTTCAAATGGACCCCTACTCTCTCTTTCCAAGGATTCAAACTAAAACATAAACTTTTAAAACTAAAAAATACAAAGGGCTTCTTTGCATGATTTTTTATGACCATTATGAACCTGTGCTTGCAGTATGAAGATGAAAACCATGACAAAGTTATACTTGAATCCGATAATGGATGGAAGGTCTTTTCTAGTCTCTTTCTCCCCTTTCTTGTTATGTTCTTTTGAAAATGTGGACCGTAGGTTGATGAAGTAACAAGTCTTATAGAGCGCATTTGTATTTAAATGCCCAAGCAACTAATAACCGTATTAATGTTAGGCATCAGCCTAATCAGTAGTTTTAAATAAGGAGGTTAGGGGAGTTAAATAGCTTATTAAGTGCCTATAGCTTAATTAGTTGTCTATTTAGTCCCTGCGTGGACTTTTGCTATAAATAGAAGCTGGGGTAGCCATAATAGGCAGACTGTCATTTATCTGAATGTTGCCTTGTTGCCTAAGAGTCCCTGTTACCTGTTGCCTTTGTTGCCTACGTTGAGATATTAGGGAAGATGATGTTTATCGATAGGAAATATCTCAACGTAGGCAACAAAGGCAACAGGTAACCGGAACTCTTAGGCAACAAGGCAACATTCAGATAAATGACAGTCTGCCTATTATGGCTACCCCAGCTTCTATTTATAGCAAAAGTCCACGCAGGGACTAAATAGACAACTAATTAAGCTATAGGCACTTAATAAGCTATTTAACTCCCCTAACCCCCTTATTTAAAACTACTGATTAGGCTGATGCCTAACAATTAATTACAGGGGCTATGATTGCATCTAAATTCTAGAATATTCAGGAATACAGAGACCTGGTTCTAGTAGTACCGGCTATTGTCATGCAGATGCATGGGCCTCGGCATACAATGCGGTGGCAGCTGGTGCTGCATTAGCTGCTGGGTTGGGCATACTGGCTTTCTTGAGAAGATCCAACAACTGATAAATCATTGGACTTCGCCTATTGGTGCCTCTCCCCTTGTTAGTTCAATCAGGTTTTATTTGGCTTAACTTTGAGTCATTTTCATTGTTCAATTAAAGTTGAGTGGTGTTAGGGTCCGGGCCTAATATATAATAAGAATAATGGACTGGGCCTATTAGCATATTAATAAGAATAAAAGTGTATTAGTTTAGTATAAATAGCAGAAGGCAGGGAAGGGTTAGGTAGGCTGTTTAGACATTTTTCAGACTGGGACTTGGGAGATCGAGAGTTACTCTCTTTCTTGGGGGCTTCGGCTCATATTGGGGGCTTCGGCCATTGATTTCTTACTCTCTTTCTGTAATCGATTCTTCCTCATCAATAAAAACTCTTAGTTGTTCTTGATAGATTCTGTGATTTTACTGTTTACCTGGACAGTTTCCTATCAATTGGTATCAGAGCAGTGTTCGATCGCTGAATGAGATATACGCGTTCCAAAATGGAAGCCAGAATGAACGAGGTGGAACGAAGCATGGTGGATATTGGGAGAAATCAAAGAGAATTACACGATCAATTGGATCGGAGGATGCGTGAATTGCAGAGTAATATGGCGGACCAATTGGCGGAGAAATTGGCTTCGATTCAGACATCAATGCAAGCGACGATGCAAGCGAACTTGGCGGAATTTCAGAAGAACCTCGCCAGTCGATCGCGAAGCCTCTCTCACCGATCATCTGCATCGCATCGATCATCTGCCTCGCATCGCACGTCGCATCATCATCAACCGTTTCACCATCAATCGTCGCATCACCATCACCAATCGCGACGGGCAACCAGTTCAGAAGGATCGGAAAACAGTTCGGACTATTCACCACCGCGAAACCACCATCATCGACACAGGAGACACGATCACCACCGCCGGACTGAAAGGAAAATTGAATTACCACTTTTCAATGGAGCTGACGCTGGTGGTTGGTTGATGAGAATGAACCGCTATTTCAGGTTAAATAGAACTGAGGAGGAGGAGAAAATTGATGTGGCAGTTCTAGCTATGGAGGATCAAGCTCTCAGTTGGTTTCAATGGTGGGAGAGACAAGCTGCACATCAGAACTGGGAGTCTTTCACTAGGGCGTTGACTAGAAGATTTCAGCCTGATATGGTAAACGATCCTCTTGGGCCTCTTTTCAGTCTGAAACAGAAAGCTACAATTCAAGAGTACCGAGATCGATTCGAAAAGGCTATCGCTTCACAAGGCCATTTAACAGAAGAAGTCTTAAAAGCAGCCTTTCTTAAGGGATTGAGAAGAGATATAAAAGCAGAATTGAAGTTACATCATACTAGAACATTGGCAGAAGTTATGGATACTGCCTCCGCGATTGAGAACAAAATTTTGGAAACTTTGTTTGTAAAAGATAAAGAGGAGGAAAGAAAGAAGGTGCAGACTGCAAATCAGAAATGGGAAGATGGTTGTAGAGGGAGTTCTAGCTACACAACCAAGAATCCATCTGGCAACTATTTAGTTGATAACATGAAGAAGCAGGAATCTTCAAATTCAGTTCAGCGGAATACAAAACCCCAATTATCACAAGAAGAATTGCTTGAAAGAAGTAAAAAGGGGCTATGTTTCAAATGCGGAGAGAATTGGGGAAGGGGACATGTGTGCAAGATGAAGAATTATACAATAACTTTAGTGGAACGATCGGAGGGTGAAGCTGAGTCTGAATTTGAAGCACTGGAATCAGGCAGGGATAAGATCACACCTCTAGAATTGAAGACCATGCAATTCTCTGTAAGTGATGAGAAAGAAATAACCCCTGTGAAAACATTTAAGGTGAGAGGTAAACTGAAATGGCATGAAGGTGAAAGCACAGTAAATGTACTCATTGATGGAGGTGCTACACACAATTTTCTGTCACTAAACTTGGCGGAAAAGTGGAGGATTCCTTATACTCATTTTACAGGGAATAGGGTGCAGTTAGGGAATGGCGAATGTATTCCAATCTGTGGCAGGTGTGCAGGTGTGGATCTGAATGTGCAAGGAATTGGTATTCACCAAACTTATTACTTATTGGAGCTGGGGAGCATGGATTTAGTCTTGGGAATGGACTGGTTAACAAGTTTGGGAGACATGGAGATTAACTTCCAAAGTCAGACCTTCAAATGGAAAGTACAAGGGCAGGAGGTGATTCTACAAAGAGATGACTCATCAAGAGAGCAGGACGTTGAAGGAAGAAGTGTTCAAAGGCACGAAGTAGCTGTCCCCAATGTTACAGCAAGCTGCAATTGGGTCTTCCAAAAACCTGCAGAAATCACAGTTCTGGATCAAATTGTCTGGCCTATGTGGAACTATGCTGTGAAATACTTAGAGGGAAAGATGGAAGTAGTAAAGCTAAAGGCCCAGCAGACCAATCAGTACTGGAGAGGAAGGGGTGCTAGGATGAAAGAAGAGAATAAGTTAGTGGCTGTGTCATATCATCCACCTTGAGGGCAAGGTGGATGTTTAAGGGGCGGAGTATTGTTAGGGTCCGGGCCTAATATATAATAAGAATAATGGACTGGGCCTATTAGCATATTAATAAGAATAAAAGTGTATTAGTTTAGTATAAATAGCAGAAGGCAGGGAAGGGTTAGGTAGGCTGTTTAGACATTTTTCAGACTGGGACTTGGGAGATCGAGAGTTACTCTCTTTCTTGGGGGCTTCGGCTCATATTGGGGGCTTCGGCCATTGATTTCTTACTCTCTTTCTGTAATCGATTCTTCCTCATCAATAAAAACTCTTAGTTGTTCTTGATAGATTCTGTGATTTTACTGTTTACCTGGACAGTTTCCTATCAAGTGGTGAGCCATGCAATTTAATCAGTGTCAGTGTTTCATATGGAGTGAACTTTAGTTTTCGTCATCTCACACTTAAGGTATTGTCTAGATAGTCTATGTTTGGAGATTAGCGTTTGAGCCAAAATGCCAATATTCTTTGAACCAAAAACGCTTCAAAATTTAGCGTTTGGGTATGGCGTTTGTGCTATTCTGCCGAAAAACAAACACCCATATAAATATATATATAAACAGTGTTGTATAACAGTACAGTGATTTCTACCTTGGTTATGATGAAATGAACTGAAAATTGTTTGAAATTCATTAGTAGTCGTTCAATATTTCATACAGTCTTTTAAATCAAAAACATTTATTTTTTGGATGAATAGCATACTGTGTATTTATATTGTATATCAGAGAGTATTTTATTATGAAGTGCTACCTCCGTCCGCCTAATATTGGGAGACGGAAGGAAGTGGTGTGGTTTTAAAGAAAAGTAAAATTATGTGATTGATAATAAGTTGATAAAGTGGGAATAAAGTAAGAATAAATTAGAGCCACACAAATTTACCAAATATGGTATGAGACAATAATAGGGGACATCCAAAATGGAAAAATGGGACAATCATAGGGACAGAAGGACTATGTTTTTTTTCACAATTAACTCGAAATCAACCCCGTGGGTCAACATGCTAGTACACCTAGATTTATTTGGGATTAGCGACCGTGCTGCTATATCAAACTTTGGTTTCGCCACCATCCCTGCGCTCCTCTTCTTCAATAGTGTCACAGATGTCTCTACCAAATGTCTCTGGCAAAGGAATCACAAACAAGCAGCACATCCCAGTGGTCAATCCGAACACCCCGTATGAGTAATACCTATTCGTTCTGCCAAGCCCGACAAACAATGGGCTGATGACACCACCGAGCATCATTGCTTGCCTTACAATTGCCATAGCTGAGTTCCTCACGCACGTCGGAAACAGATCGAGTGTGTATATCAGTACCAAACCAAACCCTGTGCATCCGCTGAAGAATGCAACCACTTCGAGCCCGATCTGCAGGAACTTCAATGTGTCCCCTGCCAACATAGCACAACCAAAGCAGCAGACGCAGCACAAGAAACCCATACATAACACAGAGGTTCTCCTCCTCAGCTTGTCTATCATTAAGGATGTTATCAGCGAGGCCGGCAGCTCGGACAAGGCATTTAGAGCCGTGCTGAGGTAGATGCTAAACGGCATTTCGCCGGCACAGAGTGGTATGCCGTAGTACACCATCCCGAACCCAAACGCTGCACACATGATTGCCCATAAGCGGCGTACAGCCCAGCGTTTGTTTAGCAACACTTTTAGTGCTGAGTACAAATCCATGTGGTTCTGGTTATCATCATGCAGGTCAGGCGTTAATCCATGGTCTTCAATGAATGAGCCGAAGAAGCTGCAGGTTATCAAGTTGCGGGTGTCTGGCGGGGCGATGTTTCGGATTGTTTGGACAAAATCTTTAGTTAGTCCTCGAACATAAAGCCACCTAGGAGATTCATGAACAAAGAGGAAAACTAGAAGTGAGTGTATGATCCCCGGGATGCCCGTCCAGAGGTAGAGATATCTCCAGG